CCCCTTCTTCTTCTTCTTCTTCTTCTTCTTCTTCTTCTTCTTCTTCTTCTTACCACCATCACCCACCCCTTCTTCTTCCATTGTCTTTTTTGACGACCATGGCGGGTAATCGGGGACCATTCGTGCCCGATACCGGTGAAGCTAGAGAGGAACTGCTGAGGAAGTCCGATGTTTGGAAATGGGTGGACCGAGGGCAGAAGTTGTTGGGCGGTACGTCACATGGCAACTGGAGATTGAGGTGCAGATTGTGCCACAAGGAGTTCACTGGAACGATATCGAGAGCGCTGAAGCACTTTGTCCAGTCATCAGAACTTGCTCGCTGCAAGCACAGCACCAGGGAGATTGCTGCTGGGGTCACCAATGCTTATTGAGCTTGGACTACCATTTCTAGTTGGACTCCAAATTAAAACAAAAAAGTTTAAAAAACTCCTTAGACAATCACCAATGCTTATTGAGCTTGGTATACCATTTCTAGTTGGGCACATCTGACATTCTCTGCAACAACTTTCAAAAGGTCTTTCTCGTAATGCAGCGCAAATTCACTGGTTCCGAGCATTTGCTAAGTAACCTTTGGAAGAGTTTGGATCACATCAGGGTGTAGGAAATCAATCGCTCGGCGGGGTTTCCACCCCTTGAGCAGTTCATTTGGTGTGTGTCCCGTTGAACGTACAGAATTCCTATATGCACAGTAATGCACTGGCTACCTTCATCCCAATCTATCTGATGCGGTCTAAAGTACATGCACAGAGTTCGCTGTACCAGGTCATTTACAGAATTATCATATGCACTGGCTACCTTCATCCCAATCCATCCATGCAAAGAGTTTGCTGTAAAAGCTCATTCATCTGGTCTGTCTGCCCCTTATTCCTTTTTTTTTTTTTTTTTTTTTGGGACCATTTCTCGATTTATGCGTGTCATCCTTGGAAGCGCAAGGGCCATGTTAATCTTCTCTGTATCGTTCCAATTTTAAGAGATGTCCCGAAGGACTGTCTGCCCCTTATTCTAAGGATGTCTACCAGATTACATGCTTAACCGCGACTTTGCCTAACGTCTCTATCACTCCCTATAGTGCAAGGCATGAGGCCCTCGACCTAGGTTGGAAAGGGCCTGTGCCCAATGGAAACTATATGCCCCCGCCCTAAGTGAAGGCGGGCCCCTGAAATTCGATGAGGGGTGCATTTCGGCCAATGTAACAAACTCTCCACATCTTCAGGCGCAGCACCAAAGGCAGACACAGAGAGAGAGAGAGAGAGAGAGAGAGAGAGAGAGAGAGAGAGAGAGAGAGAGAGAGAGAGAGAGAGAGAGAGAGAGAGAGAGAGAGAGAGAGACTTCACTTCCACATGCCAATTTGCACGCGGCTCGACTCTGTTCCGCCTGCCTATTGCTTCTCGGGTGGCGCCAACCAGAACGGAAAATCTCGACAGCGCTGGGCCCATCAGAAAACATAATGTGCGTCTGAAAAGCGAACCGAGTTCGAATTGCTTGGGCCCCCTCAGTTGGAACCCAACTGCGCCATGCCACTAACGAAATGAAAACCTTAAAAAGCTATTTATCTAGGGCCTCACGGCGTCACTCACCAAATGTGAAAAGGACATAAGTGTGGACCATCAACCGTTCAAAAAGGCAAGAAAGAAAAGGAAAGAACAAAAGAGCCGAGAAGGGAACAAATGAGAAAGAAGTTCAAAGAACGTGTTAGTTTTACTTTTTCCCTTTTTTTCACGGTTAGAATTGTTGCGAAGTTTCCTTGGGGTATGCCTTTTCAGTCGCGCTTTCTGGGACACTGTCAATAAACGCCGAAAGATGCACTGCTTATCGGGCGGCCAATGGCAAGAGATGGGCAGATTCGGTTGGGATGGGTCGCGACATAACATTACACCCCCGTCCGGAAAAACTTTAATAGAACGTAGTGGATGAGGAAAATGCCCCCCATCTGCCCTCCAAGCAGCCAACAGAAACTTGCGGCAGTCTCAGACAGAGTACATGCTGCCAGAAGGATCCACTATACATACTATGCAAAAGTTGTGCTGGCTGGTGAGAACAAGCCAAAAACAATCAAAGCAATGCAAAGTTGCAAACTCAATCTCACATCCGTACACCAAAGGCCTCTCTCCCTCCCTCACAATATCAACAGCAGTTACAGCACATCAAAAGAAAGAAAAAAACTTAAAAAAAGGTAATGACAGAATTCCCCACCATTCATATCCTCTTCTGCTCTCTTCTGACCGGAAAGCCCCTTGCGATGCGATTTCTCTGCCAAGACCACACAAACACCAGGTTTGAATCATAGGTTAGCAGCTTAACACCATTGACCAGGGTTGCATCCCTTCCGACCGCCGACCGCGACCGCAGACCATATTGCAGCCGACCAGTTGCGCCGACCAGTCGGCGGTCTGATGACCAGTAGGGGGGTATAGGGGTGATATAGGGGGTATTGGGGGGGTAATGAGGGTGTTGGGGGCGGTTTGGGGGGGTGTATGGGGGTATCGGGGAGCGCTATGGGGGTGTTGGTGGTGTTTTTAGGAATTCTGGACCCTTTTTTTTTCTTTTCTTTTTTTTCTTTTCTTTTTTTTCTTTTTTTTTGCGGGGTGCCGACGACCCCCAACCGGTAGGCGCCGACCAGCCGATCGGTCGGCGGGTCGGCAGCCGACCAGTCAAGGGCCACCGACCGTCGGGGGGTGCAACCCTGC